TGCTAGAGAGGTTCTCAGGCGATGCTCGTCATGGGCCAAGCCTGAAAACTATATCATGCAGCTGGAGAACCTGCAAGCTCGTTGGGCAAAAGATCAGCTGGATTCGAGGAGTTTTTCTGAGGATTGACAAACACCTTGACATGAGAGGCGGAAACGTACTATCGAATATCGCGCAAGGAGCTGTTGGAGTGGGCTTTGGGGCGTGCGCCAGGAGAGAGGGATCCAATGGCGCGATTTCTGACGATGCTGCGGGAGCAATTTCCAGCACAAACGGCGGAACGAGCGGTGGAGTTACGGGCAATCCGGCGGAGGGAAGGAAAGTCATTGCTGGCATACTATAGAAGGCTGGTGGAGTTGGACGAAGATATGAATTGTCAGGACCAGGGACGGCTGATAGGGAAGTTTGTACACGGCTTAGTCAACCGTTGCGGCAAGATGTGGAGGTGCGAGTGTTTGAGCTGGGTTCGGAAGCGACGCTCAAAGAGGCGTATGAAATAGTAAAACGCGCGGAAACCAGACGCATGCTTTACGAAGTGGAACGGAGCGTGGACCGAGGACCAGAGAGGAGGCGACCGGCATGGGCGGCTACATCCGCGTACCAAGAGGTCGAGGAGAGGGGAAGGGATGAGACTCGGCGCTGCCATTATTGCAGCCAGCCAGGGCACTTGCGCAGGGATTGTCGGAACCCAGCAGCATGCTCGCTCTGCGGGAGTCGCGAACATTTACGCCGAGAGTGTCCTGGGGTGCCAGTCTGCTCCCCCTATGGGAGGAAGGGACATCGGGAAGCGGACTGCTACTCAAACCGCAAAGATCAGCGGAACTGAGGGAGGCGAAGACCGGCAAGCCACCATGGCACGCCCGAGATCGCAGCTAGCGGAGTTGGAGGCGGCAGAAGAGAAGCAGCATGCAATGGTGGCGCATGAGGAGGAGGAGGCGGACGAACCGGAGTTCATGCTGATGGCGCAGCCGGCACGGGATCGAGAGGACTTGGGCCCAACAGCTCTTCAGAGAGGACGAACGGCGGGAGGACGGCCCGATGAGGCGAGCAAGTGAAAATGAAGTCAGAGAAGGAGCTGCATTTCGCCACCCGCGAGACCGCATGATCTGCCAGGCCACGGTGCTAATGATAGAACCAGTGGCGATCACAATTGGGGGACTGCGGGCGCAGAGGGCTATTGTGGACACAGGAGTGGCGCATGTGCTGATTGGCAAGCAACTAGCAAAAAAGCTCCAGCTAGGCAAGGCATAACGGCTGATACCCGAAGGTTGCCTACTGATGACCGCGGACGGAGGGGAGGCGAAGTAGATGTTGAAAACTTGGCAGTCCATGGCGTTGGTGCTGAATCCAGGAACACCGGAAGAATGCACACTGAGGGTACACTGCGGGGTGTCAGAATCCTTGGACTTTGACTTGCTGATAGGAGTGGAATATCTCTTTGGGATCGGATCGACGATCTGCATATGGGAGGAGAAAGTGCAGTATCGGGTGCACTATTGGGAGGACAACGGCCCCATCGGCACGCTGCCGGTGCGCTTTGTGCGGAGAGAGCCCAGAGAGGCGTACCAGTGCACAAAGGCCGAGCTGCGGAAAGAGCTGGGAGTCCCCTCACGGCAGCAGATTGCGAGAATGCCAACGGCGGCAGTAGGAGCAAACGGGGACGAGGGGGACCTGAAACTACTTTGCACAGACTCCAAGAAGTTGTTGGGACCGACCGTGGTGCTGGAGCTCTTTGGCGGCATCGGCACTAGGTTGGCGGCACTGCTGAAGGCGGTGACTTACATAGACAAATGGATTCTGGTGGAGTCTGACAGGGAGTCGGTGAAAATGGCGTGGTATCATGCCAAGCAGTTGCAGAAGAGGTACCCGCACCATTTAATGACTGTGGCGTTGGAGAACAGCATGAGCAGCCAGGCCTGCGACATCCGCTTGATCAACGAGGACACCATACGAGAATGAGGGAAGATTGATGTGGTCATCGCGGGCTGGGAATGTCAGGGATATTCGCGGGCAAGAGCAGACAGAGGCATGAGAGACAAGAGAAGCAGTCTCTTCAGAGAGCTGGTGCGAGTGCTAGGGCTAATCAAGCGCATACAAGGAGACGTTCTATACATTGTGGAGAACGTGGACATGGACGGGGATATATGGAGCAGATTCAAGTGGCACACGAAGAGGTGACTGGAGTGCTAGGGCCGGGTGTAGTAGTGGATCACGTGCAAATGAGCAGCAGGACACACCGAGTGCGCCGCTACTGGACGAATGGAGTGACGGATGCGGCACTGCAGTACTGACTGTCGCTAATGGAATGACTGGTGCCATTACTGGTGTAGGATGTCATGGAACCGGGGAGGATGCCCGTGCCGGTGACGCAACCAGATCACCCCACGCAATTCGCATGCAATGAAGTGGGGAAGCAGCGACAGGCATGGCCGATGTTCGTGTCATACGAGGGGCCAGCAGCGTTCAAGATGCACGGCGAAGATTTGGGGACGAGGCTGGTGTACGACTGCACGGCGGGGGAGTGGCAAGAGCCAACAACGCTGGAGCAAGAGTTAACGATGGGCTTCATGGAGGAGGCGACCGCACATCCGGAGGTGACCAAGATCGAGAGGAGGCGTGCTCTGGGAAGAGCCATGGACTTGAATGTCATGCACTGGCTCATGGCGACGATTCGGGTGTACCATTTGCAACTGAGGTGGGAGCAAAACGGGATAAGGCAGCAGCGGTGCAACCCCCGATGGAGCGATTGGCAGCCAAGGAGGCACTGGCCAAGGCCATGCTGGGGGAGATATAGGAAAATGATATGGTCCAGCACCAGTTGGGGCATCCGCTGGAGAGGAGTTGGGTATACCCATGGGAGGAAGAGGATGAGGTGCCGGCCCTGTACGCGGAACAGACCCAGATCTGGCTACCAGCAGACAGAGAGGAAGCAGCCGTGGACAAGAAGCGGGAGGATCTGGACTTGGTCGAGGAAGCCATCGAGAGGCAGCGGAGAAGAGAGAGTTACAAGAGAGAGTTTGGATCGAGGGATTTTGTGTTAATGGCGACGAAGAAGGAGGAAGGGCGGGAAGCAAAGGCCGAAGAAGGGAACAAGGAAGGAGAGGAGGGTGTGGGGCAGGCAGAGCCAATAACAACAGGGCGGTCCGCGCAGGGGGTGGAAGAAAAAGGACCAAAGCAACCAACGGTAGCAGAGCAGCAATGGGAAATAAGAGACGACATGACAGAGGGGGATGCGGCAGAACTAAGGAAGGTGCTGGCGAAGCACCGGCCGGCTTTCGCATGCACGCTGAAGGAGGTGGGCAGGTGCAACATGGCTGAACTTAGCATATAGCTGACCACGGAAATACCAGTATATCAACAGCGGCGGAGAATGACGGCAAAAGAAGTGCAGATATGCATGGATAAGTGCCAAGAGCTGATGCAGGTGGGGTTTATACGGAACTCAAACCCCGAGTACGCACCTGCAACGGTGGCGGCGGCCCGGACAGATCTCACGGAGCAAGTGCTGTCCAACGGATGTGCGAAGACTCTCGCGGACTGAACAAGGTCACGGTGATGAAGCGGTATCAGACACCAACACCAGACGAGCTGTTTGATAAGCTAGCAACGGCTTTGGTATTCTCCATATTGGATCTGCGGCAAGGGTTTAACCAAATCCCCATAGTGGAAGCAGACAAGAGGAAGACGGCTTTTCATGGACCAGACGGGCATGACGAGTGGCACACCTTGCCATTCGGCTTGAAATTCGCCTCACCCGGGTTCCAGCGAATCATGGACCAAGTGCTGCGGAACGTGCAGAACGTTACCTGCTATATCAACAACGTGATCGTGTTCAGCTCGGACAGTTGCTCGCGTGTGAAGAACGTGGAGGCACTCTTGAGCGCGATACACCATGCGGGGATGACATGCCACCTGAGGAAATGCAAGTTCGGACAGACAACGGTAGCATATCTGGGATTTGAATTGAAGGGGGGAAGGATCGGCATCCAAAAGGCGAAGGTCAAGGTGCTGGATCAAGTGTCGACACTGAAAGACGCTGCTAGGCTTCCTCAACTACTACAAGAAATTTGTGCTGAATTTCAGCAGCCAAACCCTAGCGCTGAATCAACTGCTAAGGGAAGACCGTAAGTGGGAGTGGATACCAGAGCAAGAGAGAGCAGTGCATGACCTCATGGGGGCAGTAAAGAATGGGGTGATGCTGGAGCTGCCTGGAGCCGATCTGCCCTATGTGCTCTACACCGACTGGAGCAGCGTGGGCATGGGCGCGGATCTAGCACAAATGAAGGGGGAAGTGGAGAAGATAGTAGCATTCGCAAGCCGCAGCTGCAATGCAGCAAATGCAAACTACTCATATTCAGAACTATACTGCAGGCTGTAGTGGATTAGACAATATGGGGTACAACACTTTTAGGTTTTCCTACTTGTACCCACCTGTTGTCAAGTTATAATATTTGTAGGCTATAGTGGGGTAGCCCATATGGGGTTGTCACCGCATATGCAAGGGATGCATTTGCAATAACAATAGAGTGCGGTGCTGGGAAGTAGTATAGCAAATAGCTAAGAATGCATTGAGGTAGATAGATAAGAAGTAGTGTAGGAGGTGTAGCCAGTAGCAAAGTGTCGGTTGCAAAGGGGTGCAGAAAGGGGGAAATATGTGGGAGCGGTTGGGATGAAGGGGGAAAAGCACCGAAGGGCGAAATGTGGGATTCGAACAAATCCCAAACTCAAGCCGCACATTGGAAATGTGCAAGCCGAGGTTGGGTAAGGTCACCCACGCCCACTCACTCGATGCCTATTGTTCAGTATTCTTTCATACTAGTGCAGGGCTGTTATCCTAGCTACTACACGCGGTGGCACAGCACTAAGAAGGAACCGGTGGGGTGAGGGAGTGATCCCGTTCATACTCAACAATAGGGCGCAACACGCAGTCATGGATAAATATGAGCTACGTTGGGGTAGGGTGTTTAGTCGCCGGGAGGAGGAACGAGCACGAGGTGAGCCGTCACGCGAGCGCGGGCGATCTCTGGAGCGCTCGCCGCGAAGGCCGGCATTTCGCGCAGATAGAGTCCCCGTCGCTGGGGACCGACGGGCGGAAGGGAGGCCTAGCGTGGCAGCGGGTGGAGAAGGATACGCCACAAGCGCGGACGGAGACGTGTGGCGAAGAGGGCATGATCGCGGAGATGGATACGGGAGCGGAGACCGACGCGCTGTGGGAGTGTTCCACTCGCCGGAAGAGCGCGGGCGCCGCCGTGATGAGAGGGGCCGTCGGCAGGGCGTCGAGCGATTCGACGCCGACCAAGGAGGGGAGGCCGCAGAAAAGGAAGAAGCGTGGGAGACGTCCGGCGAGGAAGAGGCAGAGGAGGATGCAGCGAACCTGGAACGGGCGGTCAAAGACGCCAGCGGAGAAGATGACGGCGAGGAACCCGCGGCTGGGATCGGAAGCGCCGAGCTTGAAGAGGCGGACGTTGCCGGGGGCGCAAGCCAAGCAGGGGCGGAAGGATCGCGGTCGGGATGGTCGGAATCATGCGGCCGCGACGCAAGCCGCCAGGAGGAGCATTACGCGGAGAGGTCGCGTCAGCAGGAGCGGCGGGACTGGGGCGTGCATGCCGGCGCTGTGGGGACGCAAGGAGAACGCGGCAAAAGGGAGGAAGAGGGACCGCGCGCGTCAGGGGAAGGATCGCGGCGCTGGGAGCGGCCTTCTGTTAACCCTCGCGCACTCGACTGGCGCCAGGCACAAGGGGGCTGGGGCGAAGACGGCGCACGATCGCCGGACAGGCAGCTGATGCACAAGGGAGGATGGGAGGGCAAGCCACGCGCAGCCAGCCACCACTGGCGGCGGGAAGAAGGACGCGAGGAGGGGCCCAGCTCATCAAAGAGGCGCGGCCAGCGGCAAGAGGGGCGCGGCGGGGAGGCACGGACGTCTGGCCCGCAAGCGCAATGGGAGAGGAGGGTGAGCGGCGGATTCCCCTCGCCTCTCGTCCGGCAGCAGCGGGGAAGAGAAGGCGGCGGAGACAGGCGCTCGCCCGGAGATCGTCGGCAGCAAGGAAGGGGAGAAGCATGGGAACCGTTGCCAGAGAGGCAGCGGCAGGGAGGGACGAGCACGGCGAGGTGGAGAGAGACACGAGTCTTGCCGGCACGAACGCGAGGGCGTGCGGGGGAGGAGAGGGGCCCGAGAGAAAGGCACGGTGACTCGGGCTGGAACCGGCGGGAGAGCAGAGCTGGAGGGGGGAGCTTAGCATATGGCGCTGAGCGGGCCCGAGAGGCCAGGGAAGGCATGGAGAGGGCCAAGGAGAGAAGGACTGGGGAAGAGCGGCTGGGAGGGGCCAGGGAATCGTGGGGAGAAGGGCGGGGAAGTACAGCCAGCGCGACGCGGGTGGAAGTGCCGGCGAGGTTCTCGGGGGACCAACGGGTGGGGCCGGCCCTCAAGAATTACTTGATGCAGGTGGGGAACGTGAGATACCGCTGTGACAGGCAAGGCATGGACCCAGTAGACTTCTTCTTGAGCCTGCCCAACACACTGGAGGGAGAGGCGGAGACCCTGTACCGCATGAGGATGGACGAGCTGCTGTGGAGGGCAGGGAGGTACGGGGAGGATCCCACCGAGGCATTTCTGGAGCGGCTTCAGCGTCAATTCCCGGGACACACGGCGGAGCGCATAAGGGAGTTTCAGGAGTTCAGGAGGGGAAGAACAGAATCCCTACTGACCTACTACAACCGACTGATAAACTTGGCGGAGGATGTGAAATGTTCGGACAGCAGCCTCCTCATCAGTAAGTTTCTTGGAGGCCTGGACGAAACACTGAGGGGGGGACTGAGGATGAGGGTGTACGAGTTTGGGGCGGATGCGGCACTAGAGGAGGTGTTTGACCTGGCGGAAAGGGTGGAGCTGGCACAAAGGAGGTATGAGGCCTACCTGCCGAGGTCGACAGAGAGGAGCCGCAGACCGACATGGGCGGCGGCTATGATACCAGAGGAGCGAGGGAGGGTGGACCCACACGGGGAAGAGAGAGCCGATGCGCGCACCTGCTACCGGTGTGGACAGATGGGGCACCTCCGCAGAGAGTGCAAAAACTGTGATGGATGTGGGAAGCCTGGGCACCGGAAACGAGAATGTCCGGATGCGGCGAAGTGTGAAATCTGCGGGAAGAAGGGGCACGAGGCCAAGGAGTGTTACCAGCGGGAGGGAGGGGCAAGGAGGAAACCAGAGGAGCTGCAGCGGCAGATCAGCAGGCTGCAGTCTCAACTGCAGGCCATGGGGTCAGGGTGGGGAGCGGAGGCGGGGATGTACGCTAGGGACGAGGAGGGAGAAGGGGTGGAGCCGGACGTGCAGTGTGCCCTCATGGCCTGGAGAGGCAGGGAACAGATGGGGCTGCGTAGCGGGGGGAAGGATGGCAGGCAGGAGCATAGCCGAAAGCCACGTGAGCAGGGGTCCAGGCCGGACGCGCCAGGAGGAGAGAAGACCCTAGCCCGCCACCCGCAGGAAAGACTCGCGTGCCAGACCTCGGTGCTGCTCGTGGAAGCAGGAGCGGTGGAAGTGGGGGGGATGAAGGTAAAGACGGCGATCATTGACACAGGAGCACAGAGCGTGATGCTGGGTAAGGGGATGGCCGAACGGTTGGGGCTGATGGCCCCTCAGAGGCACGTGGCGAAGGGGATGTTAGTCATGACAGCAGGGGGAGGGGAACCAAAGTGGATGCCGTGCACACGGACCCCCATCGAGTTGACACTGCTGCCTGGAGGGGAGCATGAAACAAGGATCAGGATGAAGTGTGGAATCTCGGAGTCCGAGGACTTTGATCTGCTGATGGGGACGGAATTGGTGTTCGCTGTAGGCATGAGCATATGTACCTGGATGGAGAAGGTGGAGTTCCGAACGAGATACTGGAAGAAGGAGGGACCATTGGGGCAGCTGCCAGTGCAGTTTGTAAGGGTGGAGCCGAAGCGGGCCTATCAGGTCGGAGCAGGAGGGGCACAAAGGGGGCAGAGAGGAGCAGCAGAGACCAAGGAGGGGCCCAGGATGAAACTGATGGACAAGCCGGGGCAGCATAGCGATTGGCAGCAGCTCATCCGGCTAGTAGAGTTGTTCGGAGGAATCGGGGCAGGGCTGGCGGCAGCAGTGAGGAGTGGGATTGCAGTGCAGCAGTGGGTCTATGTGGAACTGGCACCACAGGTGAGAAGGATGGCTGAGCATCACGCGCGGAAGCTGAGAGCTGAGTTCCCGGACCTCCTGAGTGAGAAAGTAATTCAGGAAGCCATGAGCAGTACGGTGCACGATGTGAGTCAGATCACAGAGGAGCAGGTGGCCAGCTAGGGGCAGGTGGACCTGCTGGTGGCGGGATGGGAGTGTCAAGGGGTGTCATGGGCAGGAAAAGGGAAGGGAGGGGAGGACCCGAGGACGAAGCTGATGGACAACCTGTTCAATATCCTGGAGTGGCTGCTAGAGAGGCAGGGCAGAGTGGCTTACTTGCTAGAGAATCTGGATCTAGAAGGGGATTGTAGAGAGCCGATTCGGCTGGTGAGGGAGAGGATTGGCCGGCACGTGGGAAAAGGGATGAGCTGTGATGCAGCCAGGGCAGGGTCGTACGCTCACCGCCTCAGGATGTACTGGCAAAACGTGGTTCCCGTGCTGGATCTGCAGGAGGAAGCAGAGGGGATGAGGAGGGCTGCAGGGAGGAGGGTGGTGGACATCCTGGAGCCGGGACGGACTCCCGCGCCAGTTTGTCAAAGAAATTACAGCAGGCACTACCCGTGCAACCAGGTGGGGCAGGATAGGAGGGCTCTGCCCACCTTGGTCGCTTTTGCAGAGGCAGCAGGCTACAGGTGGGAAAAGGGGGAGCCCGGACCCGGGCTGATATATGACCACAAGCGGGGACGGTGGGAGGAACCGACGGCATTAGAGAGGGAGCTGGCTATGGGATATGGAGAAAACGTGACGGCAGCACCAGGGGTGAGCGAGGAAGACAGGAGGAGGGCAATGGGGAATGCCATGGATGGCTACATGATGAGGTGGCTGGTGCAGAGGATGTGGCGACAGATGGTCTTGGGTGGGGGGCAAGAGGCAGATAAGGTGGCGGCAGCAGCAGCCCCACAAGGAGCATGGACCTGCCAGGAGGAGGAGGGAGGGAAGTGGACAGTGGGGGAAGCGATGAGTGAAGAGGGAAGGGAAGCTATGCTGGGACTGCTGGCCAAGCATAGGAAGTGCTTTGCCTTCACACTGCAAGAACTGGGAAGGTGCAAAATGAAGGAGATGGAGCTGAAACTGAGCAGCACAGAGCCGGTGTTCCAACGGCGTAGGAAGATGCCGCACGGAGATGAAGAGATATGCAAGGAGAAGATTAAGGAGCTGCTAGCGGCCGGACTGATCCGGCGCTCAGAATCAGAATACGCCACACCAACAGTGGTGGCAGCGAGGAAGGACTTAACAGGGGAGATCCTGAGCAGGAGGATGTGCGGAGATTACCGAGCGCTCAACAAGATTACCGTGGCGGACAGGTACCCAATGCCGATGGCGGAGGAGATATTTGACAAGTTAGCAGAGGGGGTGTTCTTCACGACGCTGGACCTGCGGCAGGGGTTCAATCAGATAAAAATCAGGGAGGAGGACGTTAGGAAGACGGCATTTCACGGGCCAGATGGGCTGTACGAGTGGCTTTACATGCCATTCGGGCTGAGGAACGCATCAGCAGTGTTTCAGAGAGTCATGGATGCAGTGCTGAGGGACGTAGAATGTGCAGCGTGCTACATAGATGACGTGGTGATCTTCAGCACCTCCGAACAGCAGCACCTGCAGGATGTGGAGAAGACACTGGCAGCAATAGAAGCAGCGGGACTCACGTGTCACCCGAAGAAGTGTAGGTGGGGTGAGCAGACCGTTCAGTATCTGGGCTACGAGGTGACAGGGGGGCAGATCGGGATCCAGCAAGCAAAGGTGGAGGTGCTGGATAGGCTGCGAGAACCAAAGGACAAGACAGGGCTGAGAGCGGTGTTGGGGTTTCTGAGTTACTACCGGCGATTTGGGCCCAACTTCAGCAGGCGGGCAGCGGTGTTGAACGGACTGTTAAGGGAGGACAAGACATGGGAGTGGGGGGAAGCGCAGAAGGGGGCATTGCAGGACCTGATGGCGGCGGTGAAAACAGCAACCGTCTTGCAGCTGCCAGCAGCGGACCAACCCTTCACCCTCTACACCGACTGGAGCAGCCAAGGGATGGGCGGGATACTCTGCCAGGAGGTGGAAGGGGATGAGAAGGTGGTGGCCTACGCGAGTAGGAGCTGCAACTCAGCGGAGGCACAGTACAGCTCGTACACAGGGGAGGGACTGGCGGCAGTATGGGCTGTGGGGCACTTCAGGGTCTACTTGCAGGGGCGGGAGTTCACCCTGGTGACGGACCACCAGCCACTGACATGGCTGATGACTACACCAGGATTAACAGGCAGGAATGCACGATGGGCAATGAAGCTGCAGGAGTATGACTTCAAAATCAAGCACAGGCCAGGAAAAACCTTGCAGCATGTGGACGGCCTCTCCCGTAACCCCCCACCGCTAGAGCCAACAGTGACCCTTGCGCTGCTGGCCAGACAGGTGGAGCTGAGCGGGGCCAGGAGGAGCAAGGGGCCGGCTGATATCTGGGAGGATGAGCAGGCTGTGAGATGGGTGAAGGGAGAGACAGGGGCAGACGAGGAGATGAGCGAGAGGGTGAGAGCAAGGGGGCACCACTACAGGTGGTACCAGCAGCAGTTGCAGATACAGACCGAGGGTGGGTGGAAGCTGGTGCCGGCCCCAGGTGACAGGGAAGCAGTGATAAAGGAGGTGCACTCAAAGCTGGGGCACTTCGGGCATGAGAGGACAGTGCAGTTGTTGAAGACGGGCTGGTGGTGGGAGGGAATGCGCAGGCAGGTGCAGAAGTGGGTGGAGGGATGTGAGGCCTGCCAAAGGAGCCAAGCAAACCTGACCCAAGCCAAGGCCGAGCTGCAGTCCCTGCCCATCCGTGGGTTAGGCTTCAGATGGTCCTTGGACCTGGCGGGGGAACTGCCGCTGAGCCGGGGGGGGAAACGGTACATAGTGCTCATGGTGGAGCACGTGAGCAAGTGGCTGGAGGTGAGGGCTATCCCCAGCAAGAGCTCAAGACATGTGGCAGCAGCATTCAAGGAGCAAGTAATATGCAGATTTGGGGCGTGTGCAGAGGTGCTCACCGATAAAGGCACAGAGTTTCAAAGGGAGTTCAGGGAGCTGTTAGAGGAA